TTAAACACTAATATTCCATGGAATATTAGTGTTTAAGCCTTTTTATTATATCCTTACTCTGTCCTGAACATTGAGTTCTACCTGGATTCTATCCTCTTGGAATTTTTATTCAAAAAATATACATGTATGTGTATATACATATGTATATATATTTTGTATATGTATATGTGTATATTTACCACTAATATTAGCTATATATATATATATATATATATATATATATATATATATATATAATAAAAGTATTAAAACTTTTTCATTCTTTCAGAAACTCAAGGCAAATGTAAAAGTTTATTCATAGACACAGAAAAACCTATTGTTGAGAAAAATAATATTAAGCATTCCAATTTAAATTTGAAAAGATTTTAAAATATATTTGAAAATCACTCAACATTATTGAAAGGAAGGAAACTATAGGGGATGCTAAGTGATGTAATTTTAACCTGATTCTAAATGAAAGTGAATTAATATTGTTATTATTTTTGTGATTTTTTTTTATTTTTTTTTTAAGCAATGGGTTAACCATTTTTCTCTTAATTTTTAATGTATTCCTTTTACCATTCCTTTCATTAATATTGTTTTTGCAGAAATATTCTTTTATATCCTAATTTTTACATATATATATGTGTCTGTATACTTTGATTATTCAATTTATTTGTATTCTTGTCTTTGATTGTTATAGATCTTCTTATAGGTATATTTCAGCCAAGTATCCTCTGACCACCTTCAAATGTCCATTATTTTGGCTGATAATTTTTAGCATATCTTCTATTATTAAGTTATTTTTCTCTCTCTCTGATATCATTTCTTGTTCATTCATACTAAATCATATTATACTAGTGGGACCTGTGGAATTTCCACAGAACGATTAATAGAATGTTGTAAATATATGTATGTATAAGAAATAACACATTGAAGAAGGAGCAATTAAAATCTTTATATATATAATAGAATCAGATACTTTTTTTTTTCTTAAGCATTTCACCCCAAACAATGCAGGAGTGCCACTAGCACTCAAGGGGTTACATAGAGTGGGAGCAAGAGTAAAAAAGCATGATAGAGGAAAGGATGAAGAGAAGGATGGGGAATTAGATCAAGGCAACTGGAGATGTCAGTTGACCTTGCATTTGAATATTTGGAGATTATAGCTATCAGGGAAGCAAGTAAAAGGAAGGGAGTTCCACAGACAGGAAGTGTGAGACATGAAGCTATTGGCATAGAAGTAATGGCTACATTTAACTGTTTTGACAGTGAAAGTAGCTTGTCGGAGCAGTTACCATGGAAGTATTTGTAGAAAAGATAGAGGGAGGTAACGGCGACTGTAAACGAGATGTCAGATCAGGGCCAATCACATTGCATATCCATCTCTGTAATTTGTCAAGGACCTTAAGACAAATAGCGAGGGCAGCAAATAGTAAAATTGTGTATATTTGTACAGGTATATTTGCAAATACATAAAATTTAGCTATTAAATTTATCCTTTTTTAACATACGATACTCATAGGCTGGGAAAATAAACAACACATAGAGATACTTGGGAGTGTCTGCCATATGTGCCAAGATTGCTAATACCAGTCAATCCATGGTACTCCCCACTCCCAACATAAAGCTATGCCAGTTTCCTCTGATATGAATACAGAAAACAATAGGCCCATATATATGTACAAAACTATATAATACAAGCTACTTACAGTTTCCTTTTTTTGAAAGATATTCATTTATTTATATATATATATATATATATATATATATATAGCAAAGAAACATACCTAATGTAATCAAGGGTCTCCAGAATTTATGAACACACTCCTTCAAGTCAGTACCCTTTGGCAGACAATGTTCTTAATAACAGTTTGCCCTCTTCTCCTTCCTTGTCTGTCTGTCTCCATCACCTTAACCCTTACATCTGAGTGTTTGCAAGCTCTAGATTAAGCAACATACAATTGCCCGTGACTGAACACTGGCTGAGGTAAGAACAATCCCATGTCTGCCCCTGTGACTTGTTAATAGTCTTGGCATATGAAAAAAGGACAAGAAATTGGGTTCTCTCCAAGGTGAATGGCAAGTTAGTCACTTGGAGTCAGCTTTATTCTAGAGATGAGGACGAGTCTGCCAATTAGTGAGCTGCTAATCAAGGAAGCCACAAATGAATGTCGATCCATGGACACTACTTTCAGTCTTGTACCAATGCAGAGTCTATTCTGGATAGAAATGTTACAAAGAAGCATTACTATTGAGCCAGGTTTTAAACTCAATTTATGAGAGGGCATTCCTGATGGTGTCAAAGAGTTTAGAAATTCATGTGGGTAGTGCTCAGCCTCAGCAGGATCATTTGTCAAAACTTTATATGTACTGTAATAGGTGCAGCAGTCACCTGGTAGTTGTCTCAAAACTTCTTAATTGATCAGGAGGCAGTCTGAGTTCTTTGTCCAAAGAATTACTCTGCTCCTTCTCTCTTCTTCAGATGTATTGTTGAAGATATAATCCACCAGAGAGCTGTCAATGCATGAAATTTGAAGCACTTCTATGTCATCAACAGCAAGATTAGGATCTTGTGAAGCTGCTGATTTTCTATTGCCAAGATGCAAGAGTCATGTTGCAAATTCCCTTTGATCTGCTGTTGTCCTGATTTTTTGGCTTAATCTGTATTGGATGAAAATCAGCCACGGTGAAGAATTGTTTATACAGATTTCAATTATTGCCTCACGAGTTCCTCTTGGCAATATGAGTAGGACTTGCCTAATATGAGCACAACTTTACCACCAAAAACAGTGGCAATGCCAATGGTATCTCACAAAGTTTTATCAATAGCATGAAGAGCAAATGAAGGGATCATAGAAGCCTCATCCAAGATGATCAAAACCAGGTTTCATAAATAATTTCCATGGTCTGAAGTGGTTGGTACATTACAAATGCTGGCCTCTGTGAGTGGAGCAGGCAATTTGAACAAACTATGGATAGTCTTTCCACCTGACAGTAGTGTAGAGGCAATACCTGTCCAAGCACCACTGCACACATTGCAGTTGTTCCTTTGCAGATAATTATGGTATTAAGCATAAGTTTTACCACAACCTCCTGGTGCATCTACATAAAAACAGAAGTAGTTGGGAACCTCACCACCACTCCTTTTATCTACAGATTCAAGCACAGCAATAGCAATCAGTCTCTGTTCATCAGTAAGTTCTTCATGATGGTCAAGCTGCAGTAGTCCAATATGTTCAGGCAGCCCAATTGCTAAACAATTAATGCCATTCAGCTATCAGAATTGCATCAATTGCATGCAGTGCCATATTTTCTGCATGGTCTGCATTAAAACCTTGTTGCAAGAAATCTTCAATCATGGATTCCTTGCAAATGGTCCACAAGTGAAGAGCATTTGCAGGGTTCATATATGTGCACAGGGCAGCAAATATGAAACTGTAAGAGCATCCAACAGGCTGCAGACAACCCTTAAAACACATGACCATTTAATGATAATGTCATTTAGAGGCCACCATAAAAAAACTTTTGAGGTCAATTTAATTTTTCGAAATTTCATGACATTAAATAAGTGGCTTGTAACATGTAAAAAAAATTGTTTATTACAATTTTCTGAAAAACAAAGAATGTGAAAATAATTTCATTCATTTCCAAATAAGTCCTGAAAGTTACTAATTTCAAATGAAATAAAGTATAAAAGTAATTAAAAGTTAGCTTTAAAATCACTGCCAGTAAGACACTGAATACAGATCAGTACTAAAGAATGTAACAGACGGACAAACTATGGAAGGAACAAGCGCAATTATAACAAGATGGATTTAACTATCTGATCCAACCTTCTGACATTGAATTTCAAGGTTAAAAAATACACTAATGTCCTTCAGAATGGTGGTGTAGTGGATATAGGTTTTTGTTGCTGTTATCTAGTCATTATCATGAAAGCTAAAAGTGCTCAAAACCCATTGGACAATTAATATACAAATTCTGCTTGGAAATCAGTAAAGTGATCCAAAGTGGCAAAAAGTTTAATTAAACTTTTATTTGTCTGTAACCAAACATGCAGAAAAGAGAAATTGTTACCCAATTACACCAAATAGACAGAGAAAGGCAATAATATTTCCAGCAACTTATATGGGAATGGTATATAAAGAAAGAGATAATTGCTCTTCTATAGATAACATTTCTTTTTTATTATTTCACCCCAAGCAAGGCAATAAAGCTACTAAGATACAAGGGATTAATGAGTGAGAATATGAGAAAAAGCAAGAAGCTGGAAGAGTTCCACAAGCAAGAAGTGCGATAGAATTTACTGTTACATCTAGCCATTTTAACTGTAAATGAGACCTTGCTACCAATCTAATATTGTGCATAAATTCATAATGTCGAGGTACCAAAGAGGGAAGCTCATCAGAACAATTATCATGAAATTATTTATAGACAGGACACAGTGAAGCTATGTTACAGAGGTAGGAAAGTGACTGAAGGACCAATAACATTGCAGATTCTTTGTATTTTTTTTTAAATTTCTAAATATATAGCAGGAGCACCAGACCAGATGTGGCAACAGTATATAATGCATGAATGACTTATAAATGTGTAAAAGATTCTGGCAAGAAAAATTGTCTAACATGACACATGAGTTTAGAGGTGATGATAGAATTGTTTTATGAGACAATTAAAGATTAAAGCATTGGTTTGTAAATTTGGTGGCATAAAAATGACTTTGACCTGGTAATACACTCAACTCGCTCAGTGGAAATGGGGCTAGCAATAACTGAGCAGTAAATAATGAACAAGATGAAATATCCCTAGATATGGACAATCTATTCTTTTTAATTAAATAAAGGGTTCTGTTTGAAATTCCCTGGTTTACTCAAATGGACATCTGAAGAAGGTTAGATGGTACAACAGTTGAAACAGTTATAACAACAAAATGAGGGCATTAGTGCAAATATAAATAAGAATTTTTTTTTTTTTTTTTTTTAAACATATTTTGATTTAATTGTCTAATCTTTTTTCAGGACCCTCTGAAGGTGACTTGGAATAATGATAACCGAAACAACTTCATTTATTTATCAAATGTCTAAAAAGTGGCCACATTTGCTAGATGGACATATCTCAAAATTTATGTCCAATATGGCATATTGTCCATGGAACTGTTCAGGACATGGCATTTGCAATGAGGGCAAATGTATTTGCCGTGTAAGTATTTTATCAGTATTACTTTTATTCATTTGTCTCATATTACATGGACAGCTAATAATATGCAATGCAAATTTTCTTGATATATTTCTTCTTACTTGTAACTTGACAATGTTGATTTTAACTCCTTGAAGAATGAAGATATATATATGATATTACTTATAAACTCAACAAAGCATATGATTCTATCAAAAACCTTTAAGACACACAAAGATAACATCTATGCATATATAAAGGGCAGTTGTGTGTGTGTGTGTGTCCAGCTAAAACTAAAAAACTACAAGAATTACAAGAAAATAAATATATATAGACTCATTATCACCCAAGCCAACTTTTTGTAAAAAAAAAAACTTATCACCATATGATTTGTATTTACAAAGATATTTTAAAATTAAAATGTATTAGAATGCATTAGAAATTCTCAGAATTAAAAAGTAAAAACAAACGGTAATAATTCTTATTTCCAATTACTATTGGCATTCATTTTCACTTTTTAATTCTATTAATACTTTCAAAACACTATACATGTATGTATTTTTAAAATTTCTATTCTCTTGAATTTGTTTTCACATCTACAGTAAATAAAAGTGTAACTTGAAAAAAATGAATATTAAAACAACAAAGTAAATTTAAAAGAAGAATATTAAATACAATTATTTAACAAAAAGTTTCATTTTTATTTATTCAAGTGTGTGTGTGTCTGTCCAGCTAAAACTAAAAAATACAATAATTGTTGACAAAATAAATATATATACAGACTCAGTATTGCACTAAAGGAAGTTGTCTGTGTGTATATTATTGACTTATTAATATTTTTTGGCCATCTTATGGAAAATAATTTTTTTTATTCTATCTTTAAGAAATAAACTTCATTGTTTTTTTGGTTTGTAACTAATATAAAAAAGTAAATAATTTTAAATTAAGTTTTATCAAACTAAAAAACTATGGCAAGCCTGACTTTTTCAAAAATTAATTTAAATAAAATATAGTTACATTCGTAAAACAAATATTCAACATGACTAATGTTGACTGTAACTCATGCCTGTCTCTTCTAATTTTTATTTAAGTTTAAACATTACATTAAAGAAGCAAACATTTCTCCATAAATAAATTTAATTACTATTTTGAAAGAGAGTAGAAGCAAGATACATTGAGAATTTAGTTTTGAAAATCGATTATATTTACATTTCAAGTTATATTTGTATTTGAAAAGAAAAAATTTAGTTAAATAAAAATTAGAAGAGACAGACATGAGTTACGGTCAACATTAGTTGTGTTGAATATTTGTTTTACGAATTTAACTATATTTTATTTAAATTAAAGTGCCTTTTCTAATAAAAATACGGTGATGCTCAGCCCTCTATCCCTCCCCAGCGTGTTATTGGCAAGGTGGTATTTTCCTAAATTTAGTTACTTTGTACCAAACCAAAAAAACAATGAAGTTTATTTTTTAAAGTTTGAATAAACAACTATTTTCCATCAGATGGTTGAAAAATATAAATAAATTGTCAATAATAAACTATTATTCAGAGATCATCTGAGCAACACTGGGTATCCCTGATAGTTTGTTATAAATCAGTCATTTTCCAGAGTTCAAGTTCTCTACTGAGTGATGACCAAAAACATCTTAATTACTTTCAGTTATTCAAATCCACACAAACATTGAAAAAAAAAATACAAAACAAACTTGAATATCAATGCTGAGATCTGGGATTGAACTGGTGACCTTTAAATCTTCATTCTGTTACAGCTGGAGCAATTTTATTTCAGCTTAGTAGTAATATTATTTGGTTGCTATGTGTGTTTCTTACTTGAAGCAATATTTATTTATTCTGTAAAATGAAATTTAATTTTTTTTTAATTCATATTAATTTAACTAAGATTTTAAAAATGTTATATGAAAATATGTTTAAAATTTTTAGAAGTTAACAAATGATTTTTAAGTCATTAACAAAGAATTGTCCAGAATATGCAAATTTTTAAACCTTAGTGTTGTTCTTAATTAACAAGTAATTAATTATTCTTAAAGCAAAAGATAGGCCTGAGTAAATTTGGGATAAAAATTGACTAAAAAGAAAATTAAGATTAAATTAAATACTTCTGTTGATTGAAGTTCAAGTTTTTTTTTGTTTTTTGGTTTTTTTTTTTTAGTTAAATATTCCTGTAAAATGAAATTGCTCTACAGATGTCATTCAACAAAAAAGATCTCCCCTCCAAAAAAAATTGATTCATATCTTTATAATCTAATAGTGATGAAAATATATAAAAATAAATAAAATAGAAAATTTGAGAAAATGTAACTTTTTGATATTTTCCATATAAGCTGTAACTCATTTTACCTCACACAATATTGATTTTTAAGAATTTAAATTTCCTTTTAATTGAAATAATATTAACCTCCAATCTGTATAGATTCAATAAAATACTTTAAGTAAGGAGGTATTGTTATTGATTTTAAATTCTAGATTTGTTAATGAAAGTAAATTTCTTTCACTTTTGATGGAATATTTTGCATATAGAGATAAGTTTTAAAATAAAATTTTTTGGCCTGATAATACACTCAACTCACTCAATGCCACCCTGGCTAGCAATAACTGAGCAGTACTAAAAAAAATAAAAAATAATGAACAAGATGAGATCTGGACAATCTATTCTTGTTAATTAAATAAAGGGTTATATTCTTAAAGTCAAATAGGAACACCAAGTATTTATTTTGTGTGCATGCGTCAACCCTCGGATTTACATTTTAAACATTCACAATAGATATAAACAATCTACCTTGGTGGGCATAATAAAAGGTTTGATTCAAAATTCCAACGTGTAAAAGTGCCACAACAAATTTTGTTTTTTAACAAATGGGCATTCAATTAAAAATATCAATTTCTGTTGTAGAATGTGGAGAGTTTTACATTTTGTTACATTAATCTGTATAGGTGTGTGAAATAGGTGTGTTACATTATTGTGTATAGGTGTGTGAAATGAATATATATGTATATGTAACATTATAGTAGGAGTAACATTTAAAATTATACTATTATATATATTACTGCTTGTTGTAGCTCAATGCATGGATTTTAATTCATAATGATAAATTGTATTGCTAGCATTTCCAAAAAAACTAGACTGGTTAAGATTCTTGTTGGATACAAAATTTGTTGGTAATTTAGAAACTAGAGGAAATTATTTGTCAAAGTTTATGTTGAGTTATCATACTATGAGTTGTGTACAATTTTGGCTTCATCCAGTTTCTGGATTCGGCTTCCAGAGGCTTGATGAGCTTTTCATTTTTGCAAGTCATTTACTTATGTGCCAAAAAGAGGCTCATTGATTTAGCATGGAGTTTTCCTCATTGCAGACAAGTAATACTTTGAGAGTTCATGCATTATTTAGAGATGACATCCCTTACCAAGAGAAAATTTAAGAAATTTAAGGTCTTTGTAGAGTTTTCAATATTCACATGTACCAAATACAAGAGTCACTATAGTTGAATTATTTCTTTCAATTTCTCTACCCCCGCCCCCACAGTATTTATTTGGTGTAGTGTGCTTATTATTTTTCAAATAGCTTTCTGTGGCTTAATTATTTTGTACATTTATTAAATTTATATAAGAATTCCCAGTGGAACAATTATTTGAACTGGCATGCTTATTTTATAAGTTGATAAATTACCACTGGTATGACTCTTCCAGACAGCACATGTATTTGGTACAGAAAAGTACATATGCATTAGTTTGGACATTTCCCCAAGCAAGGATTTGAAATTGATATAGATGAATCTTGGTATTTGAATTTTCTTGCATTATGCACTTTTTATATAGATTTGTATTTATAATGAAAGTACGATAAAATTGTCCACCACAGTATAGACAGAGGAAATACCTCCCTTTTGCATGCATGAAGATAACATAATTGTTATAAAAATAAATCACCAGTTGTCCAACATGCTTGGTTCCATACCTTTTCTATTTTACTAGACCAGAATAGATTGTGTAATCTTTTGCTTTTATGTGCCCTTTCCCTTTAGAATGTGGACGATCATGAATTCTCTATAATTTCTTATATTGCTCTAAGTAAATTTTGACCATTTACCATTCCCCTTTGTCTCTTTTCTGCCATCTATTCACACAGACCCATTAAGTATCTTATTCACTGCTTCCACCTTGCTTCCCTTGCTTTCAGTACATCTTATGAGTGTTAGATTCTCCAGGCTCTCTTTCTAGAAAATTTAAACTGTGTCTTTGTTTGTAATTTCCCTTAAGTCTTATGCAGTATTAATTCAAAAATATACTATGACCCATTAATGATGCAATGAAACATTAGTGCTGTGAGAAACTTAAATATTAAACATGCAAGAGCAATATAGGTGTTATAGCCTCAGTTACTAGATTAGTGATGTGTCTGTAATAAAGTTTGAAGATAAAATTAAATTTTATCATTCCTATATATTGACATTGAGAAAGGCAGTACTTCTATTAAACCTAGGCAAACACACATTTTCAGAGCCATTTATGTACTTGTAGAATCACTATGTGCCATATACAAACACTAACAATTAGGATAACTGCTGCAATTTTTCTTAAATTTACATTAGACACTAAAGCTTGAATTAACTGATATTTGTTTATATTTCACTCACATCCTCTTTTAGCTTGTAAATAATTTTATCAAGTATGCCAAAATAGTTTTGTCTCAAAAATGAACATTGAACTTCAAAAAAGAAAATCAGGTTAAGGTGTAGCATTAATAGTCATTTAGAAGAGTAGAACTTAGGACCATGCTGTCTCAAATATAAACATTGCTATATAATGGGTATTCATTTCAAAACATTAAGTGTTAGAACTTAGAATCTACACAGATAAATACAAGATGTATATATTTGTCTAAGTGACAAAATAATTTTCTTGGAGTGACAAGTATAATATATTCACATGCATAGGATAATTAGATATATATGTTTAACAGATAATGATGTATATTATTATCTATATCAGGTCACTAAA